CTATATAGCCTCTGAGCAATCTACTCTGCTCGTCCTTTCTTGGACACGTGGCTGTACTGCCCTCTCTATTCTTTACACGTGTACCCATCAATACTGCGAAACAACATTGGCTAAACTGCCAAATAGCATTGATACACACCATTGGTGGGTTTCTCTTCTCGCACTCCAATTGGACCACTTGGCAATTTCCACCGAGCTAGGCATAGACTGATCAATTCTAGCCTCAATTTCGGCTGACCTTCAAAGTCGCGCTCAATAACTAGCTTGGTTTGCCCAACTCCGTTCGTTCCCGCTGACCTTGCTCGGCCTTGGACCATCGCTTCACCTATCTTGGCTTAACCCGGTCTAACTTCCGGACCTTGGGCTAACTTAGTCGCATGATCTAGAACCTCGGCCAAATTACCCTTAGTTATGCCAACTCGATCGCATAATCTAACGGCAAGGCCCAAGTCACAACTAGCTTGGCCCGTTTGCTTGGCGCAAACTCCCCACTCATTTACTATTGAAGAAATCAAGTTTGGTAAAAGATTTGTATTCATGCCCATGATGTAAAAGCATCCACATCAGGTTCAATAAATTTTGAATTAAATTACAATTAAAATTTTACTTTTTCTATTTTATCTAATATTTTTTTGTATATACACCTCCATTAGACTCTCTATTCTAAAATTCAATTTTTTAAACTATTCATTTTTTATGATCTGCTCGATTATGCAAATAATAAACCCAAACATCTACTAGAAGCTTCTAGGAAAATTTGTTGCATATTCCTTAACACAAAAAAAAAAAATGGGGCACTCACTACAAAAAATAGCACTTTTGGCGACTAAATTTTTGGTCGCCAAAAGTCATGTTTTAGTCAGCAAAGGTTTTTATAGACTAAAAGTTTTCGTCACCACGCGTGTCGGTGACCAATTGTCGGGAAAGGTTTTTGGCGACTAAAAAAATTTTAGTCACCAAAAGTAATAAATTGCCGACCATTTTTTGAGTCGCCAAAAGCCTTAAAGGAAAATTATTTACAACAGTTTCAGCGACTAAAATTTGTTGTCGCCAAAAGTTGAGAATTACTTTTTACAAATTGTAGTCACCAAATAATTTTTTTATGTCATATTATTGCTTTTTAGCTACTAAATATTGTAGTCACCTAAAATTTGATTTTTTTTTTGGTTATTAAACTTTTAGTCGCCGAAAGTTTGATTTGTTTTTGGCCACTAACTGCTCGCCAAAAATGACTACTTGTTCAGGTTATTTTTGTTTAGCTATTAAATAATTTAGTCACCTAATGTTTGATTTGTTTTCAGCTACTAAACTTTTAGTAGCCTAAAGTCTAAATCATTCTTACCTACTAAACATTTAGTCACCAAAACATTTTTGTAGTTTGTTTGCAATTTTGTAGCTACTAAACATTTTAATCGCCTAAAGTGTGATTTGTTTTTTTGGCTACTAAACTTTCGGTCGCCAAAAATATTTTTAAATTTTTTTTTAGCTACTAACTATTTAGTCGCTAAATTATATACTTCCTTTACGCCTACGAATTGTTTAGTTGCCAAAAACAAAAATTTATGCTTTCTCTCCAAATTTTAATTTGCTTACAGCCTGTATGTATTCCGTGCAACCTGTACTACATATATGAACAAAGCAATACATATATTATCAGTCATTCCACAATAGATCTGCATCCATTTCACTTCCAACCATCCAAAAATGTAAAATTGTAAATGTAAAATTTCATACAAACCATAATCCAACATGTATTATATAGTCCAAACTAAAATAATAATTCCATACAAAACATAACTGCAAAAGTTACAAAAATCAAGCCCTTTGTGTACAAAAAATGTATAGTACCGTGACAGCCATACATTGGTTCGGGGGCAGTTTTGCATTTTCACCCCCGAAAGTCCTTTTTCAAATACGAGATGTTACCAAACAATGCAATGAAGCATCCTTACCAAATTTATTTTTCTTTTGTTTTTTGTTTCATTCCATCTTTGCAATTAAACCAGAGAGACCCATGACCAAGGATAATGGAAAAAGCACAGAAAATGAAAACAAAATAATATAGAAAGACTTTTATTCTTATAGTTAATAGTGAAATATTTGAAATTCAAAAAACATTTATTACGAGTCTATAAACACATCATCAACAACAATTTTAATTTTATTCCCATCATCAAGATATTTGAAGGATCAACAAAAACACTTCATTAGCACTTCACACGCGGGGACTATTTTCATACTTTGTATTCTAACTGCTCGTTTGGGAACAGGCTAATTTAGTAACTTTTTGGCTATTTGGCTAAAAAGGTAGGTAAAAAAAACTTATATGTTTGGGATGACTTTTTGGCTAATTACGAAAAGATGTGCAAAAAGTAGAGAGAAAAGAGAATCTTTGACTTTTTGGTATGGGTTGTTGGCTTTTTGGCTAATTTAGTAACTTTTTGGCTAATTGGCTAAAATAGCCTCTTGCCAAACGAGGCCATCCATTGTTTGATACTCTATTTTTTTATTGTTAAAAAGAAAAAGTATGGAGGCAAGATTGAATTTAGTGTTTATCAGTAACAACAATATATAAGGAGTGGGTGGCAGGAAAGGTGAAGAGAATGAGGAGGAGAGGAAGGGAGGTGGCAGATGGTGATGAGAGAAGTGGGTGGTTTAGGGTTAGGATTTTTTCCTTCTCATTTTTTCTTTTTGGAGAAAAAAGGAAGGTGGACGACTAAGAGACCTAGTGAGAGGGGCAACCTTTACTTTCTGTAGAAGTAGACTACTAGGAGAGCTAACCAAGAAGGACATCAATCTAAAAGCAGCAAATAAGTGGTGTTAAATTTTGTTATATAACTTTCTAAGCACAATGAAGTGTCATTTATACCCTTAAATACTAATGAACATGGAAAACAGGAAAAAAAATAAATTTAATTGAAGAATGTGCCCTTAACCTTATTAGATTTTGATGGTACTAAAAGTTAATTTTATAAAAATTGAAAGTACAATAATTAAAAATTGATAATACAACAGCCATACAAAAAAATCCTCTAAGATCCCGACTTAAAAATTAGACTCCTCTTATCAATTTAATGCAGTGGTGGTTTTTATTTATTTTTATTTTAACAATATTACAGACCTATATTTTACAACTATAAATATATTTATAATGATGTGATAAGGGTGGTGAATCCCATATTATTATGCCTGTAACTAATTAAAAATTAACACATATCAAATTAAATCATTGTAAGTTAAATTATGGGAGATTAACGGGGTCTCAAACATTTTCTTTTTATTTTATTTGAATTCTCTGCAATGGGTACCCATAACAACAAAACTCCACATAATTTTCCATCACCACCACTCCAAAATGAGCAAATTTCACAAAACCACTAACTCTCAAATCTATAACCCATTAAAAAAACCAAACAAAAATATAGAAATTTCAATGAAACAAATTGATACCCACTTCATCAAATTGAACATATCAACCATACAAATCGAAATCAATAGAAATCATCAATTAGGACATTAAACAAAACATTCAAAGCTAACCTATAAGTGAAGAGCATTCCAGCACAGAAGCATCCAATAGTTAAAAAGCTTAATTGAGAACCATTTCAAACCATGAGTCAATTCAGGTCAAGAAAACTCAGAAACAAATCCCAAGAACTATCTTTCTCTCAATTAAACACCAACCCACTTCACAGAGAGCTCTAATTCAGAGAAAAAATATAAAACAAAATAGAAATTAAGTTATAAGAGAGCTCTAAATTGGGAGCTTTGAATTGGGAATTTAAAGCAGAACAGAGAGAGGAGCAGCTATATATTTAATGTATTGTAGTAAGGTTTGATTCAAAGGAGGCAAATTCTAAATGAAGTTCTTATAGCAAATGAAATCATAGATGTCCTCCACTTAATAAGTAACAAACTAATTTTAGAAGAATAACTGTCTATTATCTAGAAGAAGAAAAAAAAACCCATAAAAGATTAAAAAAAACATGTCACCTTTAAAATTTTTTTTTAATTATCTGCCTAAATCTTGAATCTGGAACTAGAGTGAAATGGGAAAATTTTGATTTTGGTTAAAAAAACCTCAATAAATTACTTGTTCCTTCAATCATTTTATAGAAACCCATTTCAATCATTAGTTCATTAATTTCACATAAATCAAAATCCTACACCATAAAAAAGCAAACCCTAGAGATACAATAAAATAGGGAAATAGAGAAAGAAAGATAGAAAAATAGAGACCGAGAGGGAGAGAGATAGAGAGAGGAAGAGAAAAACATCAATGTTAAAGAGATGCAATGCGAGCAGTTGCAAGGTGAACGGCGAGTGAGCGGCGGTGGCAGTGGTGACGTGCGACGCTGGAACATCAAAGGTAAGCAATGGTGAAAGATCGACGGTGAGTATGAGAGAGAGAGACAGAGAGGGGGGAGAGCAAGAGTCGTCTTGTTTTTGTCTAGGTTGGAGACTGATAAAACCAAATATGAAAAAAAAAACTAGTAAAATATAATTGCCTCTATATTTGAAAATGTTCCCACCAAAAAATTTCATACCATTGCTGACTAATGTAAATTTAGTCACCTATTGTTGTACTTTAGGCGACTAAAAGTATTTTAGTCACCAAAAAGAAATATTCACCGACCAAATATTTTGTCACCAAAGATAAAAAAATAAAATTTATGCTTTTTATTTAACGACTAAATTATTTTAGTAGGCAGAAATACTAATTGGCGACTAAAATCATTTTAGTCACCGAAAAAGAATATTTGTCAATCAAATTTTTTGTCGCCAAAGAGTAATAGAAAACATTATGCTAGCTATTTGGCGATTACACTACAGGAAAAATAGGTTTTAATGGCGTTCTTTTAACGACGTTTTTTTAAACATCACTTTTCTTAATTTTTAACGGCGTTTTTATAAACGTCGCATATTGTTTAACCAAAACAACACTGTTTTGTAATTGAAGGCATTTAAAACCGCCTCCAAATGCTGTAGGATCACGTGCTGATCCTTCTTTGTGAAACCCTTATTTTGAATCTGAGCCCTTTCTCTCTCTCAACCATTATATACGCACACATCTCTTTCTCTGTCTGTCAGCGATTATTGATAACTCTAGGAAGAGGCTTCGTCTCTCGAAAGATCAATCGGCTGTTCTTGAAGAGAGCTTCAAAGAACACAACACTCTCAATCCTGTAAGTATACATAACATTGAGTCTTAGCTTGAAGCTCAGCTATGGAGATCGGGGTAGTTTGGTTATTTTACTAAGATCTCTGTGATTTCTCTCTCTCTCAACCCTTACACGCACACATTTCTCCATCGAAGCTCCATCTACACCGACGATTTCGAAGATTCAGAGTGATTTCGAAGCCATTTCGAAGATTCAGATCGATTTCGAGATTCAGAGCGATTTCAAAGCTCCATCGCCACCACCTCTGCCCCGGCGAGGTAGCGAGCTCCACCGTCTCTCTCTCTCTCTCTCTCTGTCTCTGTCTCTGTCTCTAGATCTCTATCTCTCTTTAGATTTATGAAATCAATGTGTTAAGGCATTCTTACTTGATCCTCATTTGCAGAGATTCAGAGATGCAGTGATTTAGTGATTTCAGAGCGATTTTGATTTCGAAGCTCCATCCCCACCACCATCTGCACCGGTGATTTTGATTTCACTAAGGTAATTCTATGGTTTTTTTTTTGAAGTGATTATCAACCATCCTGGATTCCTCGCTCTCAGATTTGATTCGCCCAATTTCAAAGGTAATTCTATGGGTTTTTTTTTTGGTTTGATCTTGCAAAAGCTGGACCTCTAGACCTTTATCAGCGGAATATCGATCTTCATCAGTTTTTAAGGGGTTTCAATTATTACGTGGAAATTAATTTATTTCCTTATCATTTTGTTTGTAGGGTTTGCGATTGTTTTTTAATGGGCAAATTACATATACACCCCTTGAGGTTTGGCTAAATTACAAATACCCCTGAGGTTTGAGAAATTACGAATTCCTCCCTGAATGCTATATTTGCATAAGAAATTAGGGGGTAATTTGTTATGAAATATAAACCTCAGGGGGTAAATTGTTATGAAAATACAAACCTCAGGGGGCGGGATGTAATTTCCGAAACCTCAGGGGGGTATCTGTAATTTAACCAAACCTCGAGGGGTGTATATGTAATTTGCCCTTTTTTAATTTATACTATTCCTGTGATTTTTGTGTAAAAATTTAAGTTTTTTTGATAAATTTCTACTTTATTATTATTTTTAATCTGTGTGTTGACATTGATTTTGTTTGAGAATGGGAACAAATTTCAGTTTTTTTGGACATACTAAAGTTATAAAAATTGGCTTTAAGAATTGTAAAAGACTTAACTATGAAACCCAATGCCTTTGTGCTATCAAACTTCTTTGGACTAGAGTTCTGAATTATTAAGGTCAGTTTGGTTGTGATTGTATGGTGGCCCAATGCAATGTGGCATCAAAGTGCTTGGACTTGAATTGTTAGTTTTATTAAACTATACATCTTATTGTTTATTGACAATTATGCATCATTCCCCATCGTCATGCATAGGCCAGTACTGAGTGGCAGTGGAATTAAAACTGACTTGACAATGTACGAAAGAGAGACGTTGATGATTAATTGTGTGTTAACTTAGTTATTAAATTTTTGTTTCAATAGTTTGGATGTTGGGTTGAAGTTCTATCATGTATGTTTTACTAATTCTTGAGTTACTTGTTTTTGAGTCATTTTAGGTTGACGTTCACTTGTGAAGACCATGTCTCATCACCAAGTGGATGATGCTGAATACATGGCAGATAAATATGAAATGGAAGATGTGGATGATGATATGGACGAAGAGTTTCGTGGAAGAGAGATGGGTGGCTCAGATTCTGATGTGGATGAATATGACTACTTGGTTTGTGATATAAACTTTATAAAGTTTGAACCATAGTTTGTTGTCATGATATGCTATCTAACTGCAAGTCTTACCACTTTTCTTTGTTTATTTCTCTCCTATTGGCATGTTTTTTCTCTCTTTTTTTCAAGTAACTTTTAGATGTTTTTTCCCATCAAGCTCAGGATATATGAAATACTAACTGTTTGGTACCTATTTGGAATAATAAAATGGCATATACTTCTGCTGCTCAAGCTAGGAGAGGTAAAGATATCCAAAGAATTCCTTGGGCGACAGTACTATTTTAATTACATTTTACTATAAGGCATGCTGTGTGTTTTCACTCATTTTAATTGCATTTGTATTGGCAATCTTCTACTATTTTAATTAATTCAAAAATAAGATAAGATAAACTTGAAAAGAAAAATAAAATCTAATATAACTCTAATAACAGAAGAACCGAAGAGGGAAATAGTTAAAAAATTAGATAAGAGTGACATGTCACTTATAATTTTTTAAAATTTTAAAATTTGTAAAAAAAAACTAAAAAAAATTGAGGTAGTATGTTAAAAATTAGATAAGATTTAAGTGCCACTTATAATTTTTTAAAATTTAAATTTTGTGTAGTTAAAAAATAAGCAAATATGTTATCTTATTATATAATTTTAACTCTATTTTGTGTCTACTACCTATAATTTTAAACAAATTTTGTATTCTAAAGCTACTTAATTAAAATAAGAAAAAATCAAAAACTATAAGAATATAGAAAGTGAAAATCGAATAAAAAAAAATAATAAACTTAATTGAAAATCGAGAGAAAAAATAAATCCTGTAAATATAAGATAAATATATTTTTTATTAAAAAAAATGAAGTGTAAATTTGAAAATAAATTATAAGAATTTAGAAAGAGAAACTTAGATAAATTACAAAAGAAAAAGAGAGTAAAAAACACAATATGAGATTTAAAACATGTGCTTCTTTTCATATAAGATGCCAAAAATCTTACATAATTGGTTAAATCAGCCGTTTAATTTCTCTACAATGTTATTTTGTTCTCCAATCTTTTTGTCTAATTTCATATTGTCATGGAAGTTAGGTTTTGGGATTTATAAATTTTTTTAAAAAATATCCTTGGGTAAGATATAAATTGATGAAGAAATTTGAATTAGAGTCAAACTCTTTGATGAAAAAATTTGAATTACTCATCTTTTATCTTTAAGTATTTTGAAAATCTCTTATATTCATGCCATAAGTAATTAAAAAGTGAAATAAAAAAAGATTAAAAAAAAGAAGGAAAATAGGAAAATAGAATGAGAGAAGAATGGATGTGCCACGTAGGAAAGTGTTTCATGAGATATTAGGATTGAGAGTTTGGAATTTTTTAAGAGACCCCTACATTTGCTTATATATATAGTAATTCCTTGGCCGTGTAAGACACCCACCTAGCAAGCTATTCGCCAAGGTAGTAGTGGGAAAACAAAACCGTAGTGGGAAAACAAAACTAACGTATCCAAAGCGTCTAGACTTCCTTGCTTGGGTAACACACCCACCTAGGAAGCTATTAGCCAAAATAGTAGTGGGAAAACAAAACTAACGTATCCAAAGGGTCTAGACTTCGCTGATTTAATTGTCCTTTCAGCCTTCGATTGACAAAAATTAATCCGTGCTACGCGTGAGATTTTATAAATTAAAAAAAATTATTATAATTATTTTTAAATAATTTAATATTTTATCTTGTGGTATATAGAAAATTTATAAATTAATTTTTATGTTTATAACTTTTAAAATTATTAGTTTAAAAAAATTAATATATACATATATATATATAAATCTATTTACTACAATTTTGATAATTTGTATTAAAAAAAAATTAAATCTGATTAAAATGAGATTAAATGACTTGCAACTCGCTCCCCGTATCCAAGGGTAAAGTATTGTGATGGCCGGTAACTGAAGTTACTTCTGGCCAATTCTTAAGCAAATAAATAAACGCGAGCAAAAAAATATTTAAGTGAGGGCACTAAAATAATCATTGGGGCTTCTATTTTTATAACATATTTATTGACCAAAAAGGCCGATAATTACATATGTAGAAGAGAATTATAAATACTATAAAAGTGCTATGTGAGTCCATTCTGCAGCCCCGCGTCTAAGACTCTCCAAAAGCTATTTCTGAATTGCATTGTTTCCTAAAAATTAGTAAACAACTATAAATACATGGCAGAGTGAGAAATATTATATTAAGAGCATAAGTGCATAAAATTCACCATGGATAATTATTGGCTAAACAAAGCTTGATATTAGTTTGTTATAGAATTTTCATATATTTCAATTTATCTTTTCTATATTATAATAATTTTTTTAACATTCTATATTTATCTTTTCTTAGTTTGTTATAGAATTTTCATATATTTCAATTTAATCTTTTTAAAGTTTATTTTCAAGTTGAATTTAATATTTGATTTTTTAAAATCATCAATTAATTATACATACAAATTTTAAATATGATAAAATTCCATCTATATCTTTTGTTTAAGTATAATATTAAAATAAAGAAAATATGAGTCAAATAATTTTTAAAATAAAAAGGTAATTATTTATATATGAATAACAAAAAAAAAAGAGATGAAAAAATATACAAAAATAAAAATATAACTATTTAGATTTGAACTGCAAAATGAAAATTTAAATAAAAAATAACAAAATATTTAAATAAAAAAAAAGGATTAAGATTGGGATATAAATATCCCAAAAAGATTATAATTTTTTTAACGATCTATATTTATCTTTTGTTAGTTTGTTATAAAATTTCCATATATTTTTGTTTAATCTTTTTAAAGTTTATCTTCAAGTTGAATTTAATATTTTATTTTTTAAAATCATCAATTAATTATCCATACAAATTTTAAATATGATAAAATTCCATATATATCTTTTGTTTAGGCATAATCTTTTCAATATAAAAATATGTTCCTGCAAAAGAAACCGTGAATAAAAGATTGGGAAAAAACAATCAACATTGAGCCATTTCTAATCCCTTTTTGATACCTAAAAATCTTAAATATTTGCTTTGCATTTGAACTGTGTACTTGCATGAATTTTTACATTTGTGAAAAAGTGAGTTTATGTAAATGATATTATTATTTTATTTTTAATTGTTTTTGTTACAATCTGTATTTTTCCTTATTTCTTTCTTTTTGCTAATAATGTGTCATTTAATTGAGATTTTTTTTTTTAATTTTTATAAAAGTGCTACTATTATTAATTTGTAACTTTCTCACTTATTGATTATTTGTGCTTAATTTTTTTTGGTATAGATGTTAGATTGAAAATGAAGAACACATCAAAATTTATTAGATATAGGCTTATACTTTAAATGTATTCATCAATTGATTTTTTATTATTGATTATCCTGTTGAAATAACTCATGATTAAATTTATTTTTAGGAACTCATTTTCTTTGAGAACTAAACCATAAATTTTTTCTTTTTTTTTTTTAATTTTTTTTATTTAGATTCAAAGTTTGAGCAAATAGAAAATATCTCATATTAAAAATGTTAATTTTTTTTGAATAATTTAAATATTTATATTCTTTATGTTTGTCAATTCAAGTTTAATGCATTTCCAAATCTTTTTTTTTTAATCATTACAAATCGATTTGTGTTTAATGAATTAATATAACAAAAAGACAAATAGCATGTAAAAAATTTTTTAACCATATAATGGGAATTAAAATTAATTTTATCTTAATTTATTATATTATATGGGATGATTAATGTAAATCTACTATTGATTAAACAACATTAGTGTTACTTTTATTTAATATATTAGTCATTTTAATTTATTACAACATGCCTTTGTTACTCTTTTTTTTTGTTGTCTGAAGTAATTCTTAGATAAATTAGCTACTATATATGTGATGATTTACTTAATATATGATAGTTTTTAAAAAATTTCAATAATGTGAAATATTAAATATTTTTAATGATGTGAAGTAAGATTTATATACACAAACTAAATAAAATATTAAGAAATACAATCAAATAGCAAATTTGTGTTTAATGAATCCATATAACCAAAAAACAAATAACATATAAAAAAATTTCTTATTGCAACACTCTAATGTAACACATAAAAAAACTCTTTAGTGTGTGTTTCCCAAATGTAACACTCTAATATAACACACAAAAATACTCTTTAATGTAACAATCCAATGTAATACACACAAAAACTCCTTAGTGTAACACTCTAATGTAACATACAAAAAAACTTCTTGATGTATTTTTTCCAAATGTAACACTCTAATATAATACTTTAAAAAAATCCTGAAGTGTTACGTTTGATATTACACTGATTGAAGTGTTACGTTTGGAAAAAGTATACCAATTTTTTTTGCACACTCTAATCTAACATACAAAAAAATTTCTTGGTGTACTTTTTCTAAATGTAACACTCTAATATAATACTTTAAAAAAATCCTGAAGTGTTACGTTTGAGATTACACTGATTGAAGTGTTACATTTGAAAAAAATACACTAAGATTTTTTTTTTTTTTATTTTACATTGGATTATTAAATTAAGAGGTTTTTTTTTTTAGTGTTACACTAAGAAATTTTTTGGTGTTACGTTTGGAAAAAATACACTAAGAAATTTTTTTATACTCGATTTG